CTGACGGAGAAAATGAAGACCACCATCCAGAGGGGCCTTGTGCTCAGGTAAGTGAGAGACCAGGGCTGATCTTATGGTCACCGTCACACTGCGGTTCTTAGATTCTGGTCTGTGACTTTGGGCTGGATGAGTGGTGATTTCTTTGCCACTGGAGTGCACTACACGCTGAGCAGATGCAGAAGACAGTGGTGGTGCATTGCTCTAAAAACTTGCCCGCATTTATACAACTAAAATTTTTGCTTTGTAGTCTTACTCTTTTAGATATCTCACAATCATTTCTCTAATTAGCACCTGATGTTTATGAAGGAAGAAGGAAATTGTCATCCCTCTTAGCCTCAGGGAATGTGTCCCAAGTCTCCAGTAGACTCTTTAGTGTTTGTTGCGTAAGGTGGGTAGATTGCTGAGTCAGATTTTGTTTTGAGCTTTTTTGTCTGGCCACATGGTGAAACTTGTTCTATTTAAAATTAGCCAGGCATCTGTGTGGCGGTGGTGCTGTTTGTCCCACCTACTGTGTTGTGTGTTGTGTGTGTTTATTGAAGTTGTGTTGTGTTTTGTTGATGTGTTGTGCCCTGTTCAGCTGTGTGTGTCTTTAGAGCGAGATCCATTCTTTTTTTAACCAAATCTTTTTTTTCTTTTTGTTGCAGGTTGATGCTGTGTGAGTGTGTTGTTTGTGTTTGAAAATTACGGGTCGGTATGAGTCACATAACAGCGGGAGTATGTTCTGTGTTTTTGTGTTGGTGACTGAGTCTTGTTCATTTAAGTGTAATTCTCACAACCAGGGGCAGGGCCTGCCGCGTATTTCCTGTTTTTTTTTTTGTCTGAGACTGTTGAATACTGCATGTGTGTGTATCGTTTACATGGTCTGAGTGTTGTTTACAGTTAAAAATTTATTTATTTATATTGTATGTATATGTGTCTTTTATATTTTCTTTTATTCATTGTTTGAATAACAGTGCACCTGTTTGGGGCAGTCTTCATTTATTTGTGTGGTGTGGTTCCTGTTTGTTATTTGTGTTGAGATGCCCTCCAAAGTTATTTATTGTTACATTGTTTTGTTGTGTTTTTACATGGTCCATTTAATAGTTGTTTTCCATTTGTGTCTTCTTTTTTTGTTTCTTGGCTAGAAAAGTACATCCTACTTAAATGACTGATGTTTTGGTACGTGTGGTTGTTTTTGATCCCGGAGCAGTGTGAAGGCCAGA